GACACCAGCCTACTAGTACAATCTCATGACACCAGCCTACTGGTATAATCCAAAGACACCAGCCTACTAGTACAATCCCATGACACCAGCCTACTAGTACATTCCAATGACACCAGCCTACTAGTACAATACAATGACACCAGCCTACTAGTACAATCCAATGACACCAGCCTACTAGTACAATTCAATGACACCAGCCTACTAGTACAATACAATGACACCAGCCTACTAGTACATTCCAATGACACCAGCCTACTAGTACAATACAATGACACCAGCCTACTGTACAACAATGACACCAGCCTACTAGTACAATCTCATGACACCAGCCTACTGGTATAATCCAAAGACACCAGCCTACTAGTACAATCCCATGACACCAGCCTACTAGTACATTCCAATGACACCAGCCTACTAGTACAATACAATGACACCAGCCTACTAGTACAATACAATGACACCAGCCTACTAGTACAATACAATGACACCAGCCTACTAATACAATTCAATGACACAAGCCTACTGGTACAATCCAATGACACCAGCCTACTAGTACAATCCAATGACACCAGCCTACTGGTACAATCCAATGACACCAACCTACTAGTACAATCCAATGACACCAACCTACTAGTACAATACAATGACACCAACCTACTAGTACAATCCAATGACACAAGCCTACTAGTACAATACAATGACACCAGCCTTCTAGTACAATCCAATGACACCAGCCTACTAATACAATCCAATGACACCAGCCTACTGGTACAATCCAATGACACCAGCCTACTAGTACAATCCCATGACACCAACCTACTGGTACAATCCAATGACACCAACCTACTAGTACAATACAATGACACCAGCCTACTAGTACAATACAATGACACAAGCCTACTAGTACAATTCAATGACACAAGCCTACTAGTACAATCCAATAACACCAGCCTACTAGTACAATCCAATAACACCAGCCTACTAATACAATTTAATGACACCAGCCTACTAGTGCAATCCAATGACACCAACCTACTAGTACAATCCAATGACACCAGCCTACTAGTACAATCCCATGACATCAGCCTACTAGTACAATCCAATGACACAAGCCTACTAGTACAATCCAATGACACAAGCCTACGAGTACAATCCAATGACACCAGCCTACTAGTACAATCCCATGACATCAGCCTACTAGTACAATCCAATGACACAAGCCTACTAGTACAATCCAATGACACAAGCCTACTAGTACAATCCAATGACACAAGCCTACGAGTACAATCCAATGACACCAGTCTACTAGTACAATCTCATGACACCAGCCTACTAGTACAATCCAATGACACCAGCCTACTAGTACAATCCAATGACACCAGCCTACTAGTACAATCCAATGACACCAGCATACTGGTATAATCCAAAGACACCAGCCTACTAGTACAATCCCATGACACCAGCCTACTAGTACAATCCAATGACACCAGCCTACTAGTACAATCCAATGACACA